ATCTTGACATTATAGGAAAGTCCAATATGTTAAGATGTGATTTTTAAAAATTTTCAAGAAAAGTTATGATTAAAATTTCAATGTTTAGGGCTAAAATGAGAACTTTGCCAATAATGGCATAGACACACATTTTTCTGCCCACACAGAGGGGAAATGCCATACACCTCTCAAGTTATATGACTCACTCACTACCTGGGAGATATAGAACATATGACCGAGGCCATTCTGGAGGAGTCAGAACATATTTTTAAAAGATAATTGTAAGAGATGTCACATTTAAAAATTATTGTTAAAAAGAACTCACTGTGCTGATTGTGCAAGCATTTGTATTGTGTTCCTTGGCATAGATTAAGCAATTTGCTTGCTGCTGAGAAATACCAACAAGAATCATATTAGGTCCTCCCATTGGATCTCTTGAACATAGGCAAACATAGGATTAGGTACTGCAGTACAAGTACAATTGGGTGCTGAAGTACAAAATGAACAAGAGTGATACGGTCTTGGGTTTCACAGAGCTTATGTTCTTGTTGCCATGATCATCACATTTCTTTTAAATAAAAATTTCTTTCGTAATTTTTACCCTCTAAGTAGAAATAGGTTTACTCCCAAGAAATGCAAGCCTACTTGGTAAATGAGTTTTGCTCAAGTTATACAAACATATTAGACTCTCAGACCTGATTTTAGTCAAGTAAAATAATATAAACAGGCTTCCCCTTTCCTCCCAACTCCAGAAATTTTCTTTCTATTGACACTTTCATTTGAAAAATATTCTAAAGCCAAGCCACTTGCATTGCTGAGTCATGCTAAGTTGTGCAATGTTAGATTACATTCCATCTGGCATTAGATAACATGAAAGAATGTAGAATCTTTAATTTTTAAAAATATTTTAGGTATAGATGACAGCTTTAATTCAGGATTTATCTTGCAAACATGTCTACCAATAACTCTTACAATGGCCACTAATAAATAGGTAAGCATTTATATCATTCATTGTAATAAGTGTGCTTTTTCCATCCAAATGTTAGAAATTACTGGCATTCATTTTGAGGAACTTGTTAAGCTTCTAAAATTTTGTACCAGCAAGTATCTGGAATATGCCTTGAAGCAACTTTTGTTTACAGACAAAGTCTGTAAGATATCCAAATACCACTGTGATGTGTTTACAGTTTATAAAAGAATTAAATATCAAGTACTTTTGGGTGTGCATTTCTAAATGAGCATTAAATGAATTGGGGAAAGAACTAGAAAATTTTCATGTCTGGCACATGCCAAATGAATGCTCACATTCATCTTCCTGCTGCAGCTTTACTTTTGGTTACTGAGAGATTCTCCAATGGTCATTAAGGTCATGACTGGAAATCAGTTTTTTTGTAAATGGATTTCACCTGGAAATGTCATTTCTATGCAATCAATTGTATCATCTTGGGTCTATGAGCAATGATGCTGAACTACTGACAGATGGGGAATTTCGAAATGAGTTCCAACTAATTTTGACAGCCTTCACTTCTCACCACCCTTGGTTAAAAATTAACTTCCAAAAGTTAATGATGAAACCTACCCAATACCTACAAAAGATGTTTAATATCACGAATTGTTATTCATAATTTCTTATTCTGGGAGGGAGAATGAGCTGTTCTAGGGAGTTATAACTACTAAATAAAACCAAAAATTCATTACAGTATGCCTCCTTTCAAATTAAACTTACAAGCATGAGGAAGCAGCATCCCAGGGAAAATCACTGTTACAGGGGCCAAAATTTATTGTACTGGTTACAAAGAAAGTGTTGAAATCCACCTGCACAATGTTTATTTGGCTCAGTTAATTCACAAGGCTTGTCTTTAAGTCTTCACCTGAAATAACACATGTCTTCAAGAGTCAAGATCAGCAAAGTACTTAGGATAGCATATTTGGCAGACTGAGTACCAGAAAGAGCTAATTTGCTAATTAGGTTTTTAGGTCACAGCTTTAAAACAGGAAAGGTAACCAAGGCTGAAGCCTCTGTCATTATAGACTTTGAAAGCTAAGAGATAGGATCATGGATTTCTTTAGACTTCAGCAGTGCAAGAACCCAACTGTTTGATTTATACTCTAGTGCGAAAGTCTCAGGGTGGCTTTATCAAATTATAGCCAAGTAGATGACTTTGTCAGATGCACTGGCTTGAAGTTAAGCACCGATTTTGGAAAAGTCCACATGAAAGATGGCCAAGATACATACCCCTATGTTACCATAATTACTGATAGATGTTCTACTTTTTCTTACCATGCACATCCCTTATTGAAACCTTCTATTTCCTGCAGGACTTCCTGCTCAAGTGCCAGTGATGGGTAGGCAGGGAAACATGAACCCTATGGATACTTTGCACTTTTTCTTTTCCTTGCTTTTCTCTTCCTACTTTTTTAGCATACTAGGAAAATATGGAAGAATGGTCATGAAATATAATTTTATCAGTATGTGAAGTTAGTAATATGAAAAAGTTATTTTGCAGAAGTATAAAAATGAAAATGACAAGGCAGACCTTTGTCTCTCTCTCTCACTGTCCACTCTGCCTGTCAAAAAAAAAAAAAAAAAAAAAGAAAATGACAGCACTGATTATACTGAAAGTGTGTTTCAACTGGAATGGCAGTTTGAGAGTAGGCATTCAGTAGATTATTGTGTGGAACTGAATTATGTGATTTTGGGTCCCTTGTGTGTGGGGAGCTGTTTAATTAAAAAACTCAGTAATGTTCAAAATCTTGATATCAAAATATAAAGGTACATATTTATCTGTGTTGAGGAGAGAGTAGTAGAGTGGTATGAACAGATAAGAATTCAAGCAACTATTTTAGTACAATAAAATTTAATTATTTAAAAAGCTTAAAGTGGCATTTCTTGGAGAGATCATATAGGACTTGTAAGTATTTTACCGAAGGTTAGGGAAAAACTAATTTCTCATATGTCTTTTCTTTTTTTTTTTTTTGACAGGCAGAGTGGACAGTGTGAGAGACAGATAGTAAAGGTCTTCCTTTGCCGTTGGTTCCCCTTCCAATGGCCGCCGCGGCCGGCGCGCTGCGGCCGGCGCACCGCGATGGCAGGAGCCAGGAGCCAGGTGCTTTTCCTGGTCTCCCATGGGTGCAGGGCCCAAGCACCTGGGCCATCCTCCACTGCACACCCTGGCCACAGCAGAGAGCTGGCCTGGAAGAGGGGCAACCGGGACAGAATCCGGCTCCCAGACCGGGACTAGAACCCGGTGTGCCGGCGCCGCCAGGCAGAGGATTAGCCTAGTGAGCCGCGGCGCCGGCCTCTCATATGTCTTTTCCTTGGGGTTCAAAACCAATGAAGAATGGCCGGCCCCATGGCTCACTAGGCTAATCCTCTGCCTTGCGGCACCGGCACACCGGGTTCAAGTCCCGGTCGGGGCGCCGGATTCTGTCCTGGTTGCCCCTCTTCCAGGCCAGCTCTCCTCTATGGCCCGGGAGTGCAGTGGAGGATGGCCCAAGTCCTTGGGTCCTGCACCCCATGGGAGACCAGGAGAAGCATCTGGCTCCTGGCTTTGGATCAGTGCAGTGCGCCGGCCGCAGCTGCCATTGGAAGGTGAACCAACAGCAAAAGGAAGACCTTTGTCTCTCTCTCTCTCCCTCACTGTCCACTCTGCCTGTAAAAAAAAAAAAAAAAAAAAAAAAAAAATAAGGTTTGGATAGGAGTACCAACATAGCATAGGAATTTCTACTATTTCCTCCCAAATCTAGAGCTTAGAATTATTATTTAGCTAGTACTATAAAGGATAGGGGCTTAGGGAGTAGATGGATGTGTGTGTGTCTCTCAGGGTCCTACCCCAGGGTACTAGGGGGAGGGGTGCAAAGATAACTCCATCAGGACTTCACTGGGGAAAGGAGTGGTTTTCCAAAGAATACCCGAGACTTTTTAATCAAACTGAGTTTAGGTAGGTCAGGTAAAACAGATATCTGCTATACTACCAAAGTGTCACAATGACAACTCTGTGAATATGTATAAACACAAGTACTTGATAAAAACATGTTGATTATTGCTATAACAAGGAATGGTTACAGATTTAAATTGTATTTATATTTTGAAAGAAAAATAAAGGCCAGAAACCCTGAACAAAATTGAGTAATTAACCAAAAGCTTACAAGAAGCATAGTCTTGAGACAGTGATAAAATGAAAAATCTTGGACTGAATGAAGTTGATAAAAATTAGAAATCCTTTGTGATCTTTATACAGAAACTAAAATTTTATAGGTAAAATGATGAAATATTTAAACAGGTTAAATTTAAGTTTTGGAAAAAAGTAATGTTGATTCTGGCATTTAGAAATGCTCATCTATGCAAAATTGGACAGTATACTTTATATAGGTAAAAACCACATTATGACAATTATTAAGCTCAGGAGTAGCTGGGAACCTTTCTTCTCAGTTGTGGCCATTTAGGTAACACTCAATATAGTAAAGGGCTTGTTAGTTCCCAGGGATGATCTTTCTGAAGATTCTTTTCAACCTGTAGGTAAACTAATGAAAGACTAACCACAGTAGTTACCTTAAAATTGAATGAAGAAGTGGAGTGGACAGGTAGACTTATTTGGAGAAAGCAAAGGAAGGAGGTAGAGAGAACATAACAAGAAGTTAGGTGTTGATTTTTAACCTTAGTTTTGAGTAGATGTGATATGCTTGCATTTTTATCTTGATATGAAGAATTCAGGAGGGCAATGAACTAGAATGAAAGAAAATTTTTAAGTAGCATGTTGAATTGAGAGAACTGGGGTGAAAGTTAAGAATCTACACTAATAACTATTATTGAGAAGAACAGTAAGCTTTAACACTTTAAAAAAAAAGATGATTATTCCAAAATACACACATGAAGAGGAAAACAGGAAAGTGATGGGTGCAGAAGGTGCTTATCTATTTCAAGTGGTTGGTAACAACTTATGAGCAAGTTATGAATTTGCAAAAAATACTGTTTGTATGAGATTTTGACTGTAAAAAAAAGTCCTTGAAAAATCAACCCATAGGATTTTTTAAAAAAGTTTATTTATTTATTTGAAAATCAGAATTAGAGACACACAGAGATCTTCCATCAGCTGGTTCACTCCCCAAATGGCTGCAATGGCCAGGGCTGAGCCAGGCACTAGGAACTTCATCTGGGTCTCCTACATGGGTGCAGGTGCTCATCCACTTGAAACATCTTGTGCTGCTTTCCCAGGCACATTAGCAGAGTTGGATTGGAAGTGGAGCAGCTGGGGCTTGAATCTGGTGCCCATATGGATGCCTGCACTGCAGATGGTGGCTTAATCCACTATGCCTCAGCGCTGGTCCCAAGCCATAAGATTTTTGAATGCTTTCAATGATACCACTTCTCTACATGTTCGAGTAACAATATTTTTTGTTTTTGATATAAACATGTGAGCTAAATGTAATTTTCTTATAATTACAAAATGCACTCTTGTGAAATCTTAAAACCAAATTTCAGGTATAATTAGTTTACTGACCTTCAGCACACATTAATTACCAATCCTAGGTGAACATGTGACTTGGATTTGTTTTTTGTGGTAGAAGTGCTTTGAGTAATTATCCATATGCACAATTTGGGTCACACTGTAGACAGAGGCAATGTACAATAGGCTCAGTATAGTAGCAGCTATTATAATAACCTTAGTTCAAAATACCAACTATGCTACTGTCCAGTTGTAGGTTTTGGCAAATTAACTTTTCTAAATATCTGCTGCTTTAATCAGGAAAACAAATGTTGTTAATAAACAATCATCTGTTTATGGCTGTTGGGGATTCAGAATGTTTTGTTTTCAAGTGGTAATATAGGTAATATTGGGCATACAGCATGTTTGTCTTTCACCCTGCTATGGCTTGGATGCAGTTTGTCCCTCAGTTTCTTGTACTGGAAGTCTGAGCCCTAGTGTGATAATACTAAGAGGCTATAGAACATTTAAGAGGTTGGGGCTGGTGAAAGCTGTTTAGGTCATTGGCAACATTGCCCTTGGGATTAATGCTGGTCTCATTGAGTTGATTCTCCTGAGAGTGAGTTGTTAGGAAGCAAGGCCTAACATGTGCTTGCCTCTTTCTACTTGATGCTGGCTTTCTTCCTCTTCCTCTGCCATGTAATGACAGTCAAGGGGGCCTTCACTAAAGCTTGAACCAATGGGTAGAGTTGCTTGATCTTGGACTTTTAGCCTACAAACCTGTGGTCTAAATAAATCTCTTCCCTTCATAAAGTACTCAACTTCAGGTAATTTGTCATAGACATGGGGTCTGAAGCAAACATTTCTAATCAAATACTAACATTTCTACAGCAAAGCCTTTGAATGTTCACATTAAGGAGGATAAGACTATTGAGTCTCATGTTAGAATTCAGGCTTTAACAATCACAAGGACTCATTTTCAAAATCTGAAGAGTGGAATTTGAAATTGTGAATGAGTGGGTGTAAATATGATGTTTATTTTTCAAATAATAAAACATATTTCTCATGTACAACATAATTGTAATCTGCTTTAAAGGCTTGTTGCAAGGAATAGGTGAAAATGCATTTAAAGCATTATTACATAGAGCTCAAAAAAGTGTGGAAAAATTTGGTGACTGGAAGTATATTTATTGTCAGCAATATTTATGAAACTGATACTTAAAAACTTTACAACGATGTCTAGGATGTTTTTAAATGTAAATAAAAAAGCAAATAGCCAAAAATATTAAAAAGCATGACTCAGTTTTTGTTGCCCTTATATAGAATTATATATGAATAAATAATTTGGTAGTCCTTGAACTTGAATTAACAGCAGTCACATTTAGGAGTGCTATTGGTACAGGGTGAGGACACACATTTTACTCTTTACAATTCTGTATCTTTTTTTTTTAGAATACAATATGTTTTAATACAAATTATTTTAGTTAAAGTCAATGTATGATGTTAGAAAAGTTGTTACCCTTGGGGGATATGGTAGCTGTGATGGGGTACAAGGAGGGCTTTTGAGGCCCTGAATATTTCCATTATATGCAGGTATATCAGTATGCTCATTTTGCAAAAAATCTATTGAGCTATATACTTATGACTGATCCATTTTTTACATAAAATTCATTTATGAATGAACTGTTCAAAGTGACATTGAATAGAATTTTTGTTCTAGTTTAGATGCATATTTTGTCTTAGTAACATATTCAATAGCTTTCTTTTCCCATATTCATTATAATTTATTCCTCCTAATTTCTCCTTAACATGGTTGCATTTCAAAGGTATTATTAATTTTTACAGTAGGAAATATCTCTAGTTAATAATATAGTATGATGGACTATAAGCTATGACCACTTATTAATCATGTTAGCTACTCATCAGCATTTGGTAAGATTTCTTTGAATCACACAATTAAATTACACTGAAGGGAATAACAGAGAGGTAAAAATTATTGTTAAAAAGGGCAATACAATAAAAAAATTTATTGATGAAGCATCCAAAATAATGAGTATGGTGACTCTCCTTATGACAGTTCTATGATTATTTGCTTTGGTGTGAAGTTTCCTGCACTGTATAAAATAAAAAGTGCATTTAACTATTTGTTGTATTTAGCAGCAGGGTAAAGAAGGTTATATAATTAACTTATAGGTCTATATAATTTCTAAAGCAGCAGGAATAGATTAAAATTTTTTTCCCTATCATTAAGAAATGTATGGAGTATTTTAAGATTTGGTTATGGTACCATATTTCTTGTTATAATCTGAAATACAAATCTGTAACATTCACATTTTATATAAAGTAATAGTCTGGCATATATAAGGGGTAGTAATGAGACAGGAAAACCACTTTAAAATCTGCATCTTTAATATGTAAAGTATCAAGGAACAATATTAGTATTTTATTCAGGACAACTATTTAAATACTATTTACAACTTTATGGACACATATTATCTACATTTGTACATCAAAGTATTTTTAGAAAGAGAAATATGTATAATTAAAATAATGTATGAAAACATAATAGAAGTCCAAATATATCTGGCGGTGTAATTTGATCACTTCCAAATTTTCCTTATTGACACAAAAAATGGGAATAATTTTGACTATTATTTTCTAAAATGTCCTAACTGATTTGCTGAAGCATAGTAACAGGAAGCTGCCATCAGGTGACTTAGGGACTTAAAAAGATAACAAATATTTTACAACATAACCTTTTCTGTTGAAATGTTGTATTTACTTACAATACAAAAGGAGAAAAACAGTTTCTTTTCTGCTTGCTGAAAGTATTTAGACATAGCTTTAAAACAGTCTTCTTTCAAAGATTTTAAATACATTTCTGAAAAGATACCAACAAAGCAAATTTTTAAAAGCAAATTTGATCAATTTATTTTTCTTGACTTTGAAGTGATTCACCTTAGATTTCCTTTTGAAATGTTTCTTCCAAATTTTCTAACTATCCTTGGATTTATCTTATGGATGTTTCTTTTAAATTCTAGAGAAGAAATAAAAAGATGTATAAATATGGTATCATTTGAAAATAATTTTTACTATTCATTCAACTTAAAAATTATAACCATATATAGGAATATTTGCTCTTGAAATTCATAGTTGTTAACACGATTTGAAATTTAACAAAGAAATATTAACACCTTTGCTGTAAAACTGCTTGCCAAATCCATTTCTCTATGTTGCAAGTTGAAGATTCAGTGAGCAACTGCACATACAGAGGTATCAAAAGTCACTGAATAAACTGCAGATTCACTTTCCTTCTAACAGAAGACTATTTTTACAAGCATTTGTTGCTTTATTGTTTTCTTAATTTTCTCATTCTTTGATTATTTCACCAGGGCTTTTAAATGTCCATATTCTAAGAAAAGGTTATCAGTACTTCCTAGAAGGCTGATCCTAGTCCTATAGCCCTTTTTGCTTTCACTGCCACCTTTCAAATGTTTCTTTTCCTTTTTCTTCTTGTTCTTTTTAAATATTTATTTATTTGAAAGGGAGAATGATAGAGGGACGAGGGACAGAGATCTTCTGTCAGTTGATTCACTCCCCAAATAGCTGCAATAGCCAAGGCCAGGCTGAAACTAGGAGCCAGGAACTCCATCTATGTCTCCCGCCTGAGTGGCAGGGACCCAACTACTTGGACTATCATATGCTGTCTTCCCAGGTGCACCAGAAGGAAGCTGGATTGAAAGTAGAGCAGCTGAAACACAAACTAGCACTTATGATACAGTATGCCAGTGTCTCAAGCTGCTGTGTCAAAATGTAAAATCCCTTTCAGATGTTTTGGTCTATGCCTACTCTGATTCTTTATCAGTCTTTAAAACAATCTTCCACTCAACACTACTGTAAAATCTAGGGCCACTGACTTCTTTTGAGAGCACTTAATTGGTTGTACATTTCATTGGTCACATTAGGTTTTAATTTTAGAGGAGAAATATATATATATATTCCATATATATATTCCCTAACTCTAATTCCTTTCCTCCTTCCTCCCTCCCTCCCTCCTCCCTCCCTCCCTCCAATTTTTGTTTAAGAGGGAGAGAGGGAGAGAGGTAGAGAGGGACAGAGAGAGAAATATGCTTCTCTCTGCTAGTTCACTCTCTGAACTCTGAATGGCTACAATGCCTGGGGCTGGGCTGAAGAGGACAAAGCTGGGAGCCAGGAACTCAATCAGGTCTTCTGCCAGGGTGGCAGAAACTGATAAGCTTAAATAATTACTGCTGCCTCCTGGATTCTGCATTGGTAGGAAACTAGAGACTGAAGCTGGAGCTAGTCAATGAATCCAGCACTCTCAAGTGGGGTGGGAGTTCCTTAATTGCTGGACTAAATGCCCACCTCCTCTTGACACTATTTCTTATTTCTCTAACTGCTCAGTCAACAGCTGTTGCCATCTTTCCCACTGATATTCTTTTACTTTATCATTTGTACATTGATAATTGGAGAATTCGGGGAAACATAATCTAAAAAAGGCAGTCTCAACCTTCACTATTCTAGGCATTTCTGGTGTGTGTAGCAATTTTATTTGGATGTTCTAATATACAATGTTATCTTCCCTTAAAACTTAATAACTTTCCAAGTGTTCAATTATCCTTAATAATCTGTAATCTTTTAACCTAGCTCTTTGAAGTTTCTAATTTGACAATTATATGCAGTTGAGGGAATGTAGTCACCTCAAGTTGCATCTTTTTCACTTTGCCAATGGGAATTATAATATGATTGTAACTGTGCAGAGAGCGGAGCTTGTGTAGTAATTACACAAATGACTAAGAAGCTAAATTAAAAATAATAGGCTAAGAGAAACATTTCAGGTGGATATAATTTATCTGTAACTTATACTTAATTAATAATTTATAAATAGCTTTATTTTTAACAAGATTATTACACTTGTTTTACCATACAATAAAGGTGATAAGTAGTATATAAAGAGATTCCTATGAAAACAGTATAAAAAGAGTAATCTACTATATCTATGATAGGTAATCATATCATTAAGATTAAATTACCAAATAAACATACCTGTGGTTGTTCTGTGTTCTTGTAAATGTTTATCACTTGAATTATCTGATCGAACACGTTTGGCAAATCCATGGTTTTCTTCAGCAGCTGATGGAATACTTGATGCAGATATTGAGGAGAAAATTTTTTAAGTATTTTTTTCATCTCTAAGTTCTAATTTCTGTTCTACATGCAGCAATGATAGAAGAAATCAAATACAGAAATGTGAAGCTGTGAAATCCTACAGAAGTAATTGGAGCTACTAAACACATTTTTGGCCGACAGAAATTTAGCTGTTTGTGACTTTAATGTTTATTCCAATTGCACATTATGATTGTAAGTGTGAGTAACAATTCTGACTGCAGAATATTTCTAGGGTGCTCTGCTGGAATATAAGTGAGCACTTATATTCAAAGTATAGAAATCAGTAACATATAATCACAAGATGTGCAAAGCTAGTATCTTGAACAAATTTGGACCAAGAACCCCAATCTGGGAATATAAACAACTGAGATTATTTGGGGAGTTTGTCTTTAAATCAAAACATGGTAATAGACTGACAATCTCTAATTATTACAATTACAGAGACTGAAATGAAAAAGAATGATCTTTCATTTGTCTTTAAAAAATATATCTCACATTAAGTGTCAAATTTCTAACTCAATTTGAGTTAGCATAATACTGAATACCCATAATAGATCTGTGTTATAGGATATGCAAACCAGTAAGGCACAAATAATCTCTGTCCTGCTAAGCTATACCACAAACATCAAGTGAGGACAAGGAAAACATGAGACAAATACATGAATTAATATGGTAGAATTAAAAAAAGTGCCACAGGTTTTCAAATTTCAAGGAGCTACAGATCTTCAAGATGTGATGAATTTGATCAGAACCTTCAATTATAGCAATCCTTCCTTGTTCTAAAAAGGATCCAGGGTTGATTGGGGAAGACCATCCTCCTTCCAAACTAATTTAACTAAGCTAATTTTACAGAAAATCTGGCTCATAGAGACTATACATCATAATATAAACTGATGCTAATTTGCTTATCAGTTGGGTTAACAATTGGGGGTTTTCCTTTAAAGGCAACAACTTGGTCTTCTGGTGATCCCAACCATGTTTTAAATTGGTACAGGAGTATGTGTATAGAACAGGGAAAAGATGGGTTAGTGGCATGCTCACTGCAAACACACATGAGCACAATGTATGCAGGGGAAAACAACTCAATTGAGGTAGGTCCATTTCTAGAGCCCCTGAGAGAAATAATTTTGTTGTTTATACCTCCTCTGTCCAAGAATGCAAATCACATTTATCCAAAATGGTTAGAAAGGAAGTGCTGGTGCTATAAAAGTAAACAAATTCAACTATAGAAATTACCCATTCCTAACAGGTGGTAAATAAGTTACTATAATTGTTTTGAATACTAAACATTTTTTATATTATATATATCTACTAGTGATCCATGGCAGAAATTCTTTTTTAAAGTCATCATTTGGTGATTTTATTTAAGTAAAAGAGCAATGCCATTTTCCATATCATTTATCTTAAAGTTGTCTTTTTTATTTTATAGTGTGATTTTTCACTTTGGTTAGTTCTAGAATCTTATGTTTTTTAAAAGATTTATTTATATATTTGAAAATCAGAGTTATAGAGAGAGGTAGAGACAGAGAGGTCTCCCATCCACTGGTTCACTCCCCAGATGGCTGCAAAGGCCGGAGTTGTACCAACTGAAGCCAGGAGCCAGGAGGTGCTTCTGGGTCTCCCACATGGGTTCAGGGGCCCAAGGACTTGGGCCATCTTCTACGCTTTCCAGGCCATGGCAGAGAGCTGGTTCAGAAGAGGAGCAGCTGGGACTAGAACTGGTGCCCATATGGGATGCTGGCGCTTTAGGCCAGGGCTTTAACCCACTGCACCACAGCGCCGGCCCCACTTCTTATACCATGCTCTTATTTTAAATTCAGTCTTTGGAATAAGCCTATTTGATTAAAATTCATATTTCTAGGAATGAAATCCAAGTCTAATAAAATATGTTGCATAGTTATATGTAAGTCAAACATACCCAAATATTTTTAGGATTTAATTAAAGCAGTCTACTGTTAAATGTTTAGAATTTAGAAGTTAGATTATAAAATAAAGGCAAAATTTATATGGGCACAAATTCATATTATGTGAAGGACTATATTAAGATGAGATCCAACAACTCTTGTAGTTATAAGCCAAATATATTTTTCTAAGTATTAACAAAGCTGAAAATTAACATTTGCTCCCCCACATAAGTGGAATTTTCTACACAATAAAGGTAGTGCAATTTATATTCTTCTAGTAGAAGTGATTTCTAGTTGGGATCATTAGACATATTTCAAAACAAAAAAGATATGGCAGTCTGAGACATTTTTAGGCATTATTTCTTAAACAAATGAAAAAACCAACCAGTCAACTAACCAAATACAAGACAAACATTCCAAACTCTGATTAACATAATTTATAAATAAAAGCTAACATATGTATTTGTATAGTTGGTAGGCTGATTCACTTAATCCAAAGTCTGCTACTAAACAAATTGTTAAGATTCAAAATCCAGGGGCCGGTACTGTGGCGCAGCGGGTTAAAGCCCTGGCCTGAAGCGCTGGCATCCCATATGGATGCCGGTTCTAGTCCTGGCTGCTCCTCTTCCAATCCAGCTCTCTGCAATGGCCTGGGAAATCAGTACAAGATGGCCCAAGTCCTTGGGTCCCTGCACCCACGTGGGAGACCCAGAAGCAGCTCCTAGCTCCTGGCTTCGGATTGGTGCAGCTCTGGCCGTTGCAGCCATCTGGGGAGTATTGGACGGAAGACCTCTCTCTCTCTGCCTCTCCTTTCTCTGTGTAACTCTGATTTTCAAATAAATAAAATAAATCTTAAAAAAAAAAGATTCAAAATCCAGTATTTTGGTAGGTTTTGTAATATGCAGTGCATTTGGACTCTTTTGAGAAAGAAAAACTATAATGCAGAAATGGCTTTTTTCTTAATTTTTAAAAATGATAGAATATATACACATTTAAATAGGTATAAAGCTGCTAGGTGGAAAATACCAGAGTTTATTACTCTCAAGCCCATGTAGCTTTAATTGGGGAAAAGGAAGATTAAAAAAAAAAGTGACCATGTACATTTCTAGCATTAATCTCTTTTAACCTTAGTTAATGGCAGGATCTAATTATTGGTACCAGAGGGAATGTAATAGAGTAATAGGCTATGAGAAATCAAGCATTTTCTTTACATGTTCTTTAATATTTCACAATCTTAGTTACTCATGTGGAAGCAAGCCCTTTAACTCTACTAAAACCAGTCTACTAAATACATAATTCACATACCTGGATATTTCTTGAAAAATCATGTGATTTAATGACTATGCTTATATCTTAAAACTATTCTTAGGTATAACCTTTTGCCACATCTTAGTAAATACAACAGAGTGCATTACTACTGAAGGACAAGAAAATTCCATTAACATCAATTAGTGGAAAGAACTGACAAAACTGGTACAATGTAAATTAGTGACAAAATGGATATAACAGATGATGGTAGTTAGGTAGGCTCACTCACAAGTTGACTGACTGCCATGTCAGACTGATTGCACAATTCAAATTTGTGCCCTAGCAAAAATATATTAGTTCTTTCTTTTCTGCTGGGGATATGTTGTAAGACCCCTGTGATTGCCTGAAATGGAGACAGTAACAAACCCTACATAGTAATATATTTTTATGGCTTTTCTTTGGCACATCCAAATAATCAGTGTCACTAATATTGTGCTTTGGGGCCATTATTAACTAAAATAAAGGTTACTGGGACACAAGTACTGTAATACTGAGACAGCTGATCTGATAACTGAGTCAACTACTAAGTAGCTAATGAGCAGACAGCATATACAGAAAATATATAGTGCACATACATATACACTGGAAAAAGGAATGATCCATGTTGTGGGATGGAGTCAGAAAACATGAGATTTCAACACATTACTCAGAACAGCTCATAATTTAAAATTCATTGATTATTTTTGCCACTTTCCATTCAATATTTTTGAACCTTGGTTAACCACAGGTAAGTGAATCTGCAGAAAGTGAAATCATGACTAAGAGGATACTACAGTGCATGTTTTTAAATGTCATGCATAGTTAGACACATTCAGGAAAAAGCAATCCATGAATTTAAATATGCACATTCTTAGGCTCTGCTGTAATTTGTTTTGGAGGGGCAAGGATGTATCTTAAATTCATCTATGAGAAGACCCTCTATGAAGCACGGATAATTAGGCTATTTGTAAATTTATTTCCTCTAGCCTAGATGATAATAGATAATAAAGATATAGATAATAGATCCATAGTGAAAAACATTTTAAAAGTGGTATCTTAAGGTCCTACACTTCTTATACTCAGAGCAAGTCAGATTCATTTTATATTTATTTAGTATTTTTTGTCTCGGCACTCAATTTGTAGAATCCAAAGAACATATAATACACTGCATCTTATATGACTCGGTGTACTTAAGATTTTTCCATTTTCTTTGTTTTTAAATTATTATTGTGTAACTGGCTTATTTCTCTTTGTATTACCCTGCTTGTGGTTTACAGCACTTTTCAAATCTGTGATTCATCTGTCAGTTTCAGAAATTAGGAGTCATTTTCTCTTGAAAAACTGTTTCTCCCCATTCTTTCTCTTGTTTCTTTCTGAGACCCAATACATGTATTCCAGACTCTCCCCTTTTTAACTCTTTCTAATATATTTATATTCACTCTTTTATTTTCCATTTTTAATTTTTTTGTACATCAAGTTGAATATTTTTCTATCAATGTACCTTTAATCCATTAAAACTTTTTGCTATGACTAATCTGTTAGATCGATTTACTGAATTCTTCTCTTAAAACTTATTTATAATTGTGTTTTTCTTTTAAATGACACATACAAATTGTACATATTTATGGGGTATCATGTGACCTTTCCATACATGCATACATTGTGTAATGCCCAGTAGAGGAAACATAGCTCCTTAAATATTAAATGCTTTCAATGAGGAAAACATGAAAAACTTTTTCTCCCAGATTTTAAAATATTTTTAAGAAATATGAATATTACATTATCACTAGTGATAGTCACCCTACTGTGCAACATAACACTAGAGCTTCTTACTCTGATCTAGCAATAACACAGTACTTCTTAATCAACGTTTCCCCATTCCTCCCATCATCTCCCATTCTCAGATTTTGGTAACCATCATTAAATTTTATAACTTCTATGGGATTAATTCTCCACAGATGAGTGAGATTATATGGTACTAGTTTTTCTGTGCTTGGCTTATTTAATCACCTAACATAATGACTTCCAGTTTCATTGATGTTACTACAAATGATAAGATTTTTTAAAATCCTTTTTTATGGCTGAGTAGTATTGTTATAGTACATTTGTATTATCTATTTACCAGAAGATGGACATCTGGTTGTTTTCATTTCTTGGCTATTGTGAATAGTGTTGTAATGAACATGGGGTGCAGATGTCTCTTCAGTTCCTTTTATACATGCCCAATAGTAGAATTTGCTGGATCATATGGTACTTTTAGATTTTTGAGGAGCTTCTATACTGTTTTCTACAGTGGCTGCAGTAATTTGTATACTCAGCAGCAGTGTGCAAGGTTTCCCTTTTGCCATATCCTTATGAGAATTAACTTTTGTGTTTTTGATTAACAGTCCATCTAATTAGAGCAAGGTGATTTCTCATTGTGGTTTTCATGTGAATTTCCATGATGGTCAGTGATACAGAGCATTTTTTATGTTCCTGTTGGCCAGAAGTATAACTTTTTTTTGAGAAATGTCTATTTAGTTCTACTTTTTATTGAGTTCTTAATTTCAGTAAATTCTCTTTTCAGATCTAGAACATTCAAATGGTACATTTTATTTTATTTTATTTTTATTTATTTGACAGATAGAGCTAGACAGTGAGAGAGAGAGAGACAGAGAGAAAGGTCTTCCTTCCATTGGTTCACTCCCCAAATGGCTGCCATGGCTAGCACTGCACTGATCCAAAGGCAGGAGCCAGGTCTCCTCCTGGTCTCCCATGCGGATGCAGGGGCCCAAGCACTTGGGCCATCCTCCACTGCCCTCCCGGGCCACAGCAGAGAGCTGGACTGGAAGAGGAGCAGCCAGGACTAGAACCCAGTGCCCATATGGGATGCCGGTGCCGCAGGTGAAGGATTAACCAAGTGAGCCATGGCATCGGCCCCAGTCCATTTAATTTTTTTTTTAAAAAAACATTTATTTTTTATTTTTGAAAAGCAAGTTTACATAGGGAGGGAGATACAGAGACAGAGAAATCTTCCATCTGCTGGTTCACTCCCCAAATAATCACAACAACTGGGGCCGGGCCAGGCCAAAGCCAGGAGCCAGGAGCTTCATCAGGGTCTCCCACATGGATACAGGGCCCAACCACTTGGGTCATCCTCCACTGCTTTCTTGCGCTCAACAGCAGAGAGCTGGATAGGAAGTGGAGCAGTTGATGACTCATATGGGATGCTGGCATTGCAGCCAGAGGCTTGACCATTATGCCACAATGCCAGTCTGTAGTAGATCCATTTTAACAGAAGCTAATTCTCTATGAAATTTCCTAGCTTTCCATCTTATTTTATTTTGAAATTAACCAGTTAAACTCTCAGCTTCTGATAACCTAATATTTGCATAATTTATGAATCATTGCTTCTCTAACTTTTTAGAAAAGTTGGATTTTAGTCATTTATCTTGTCTCTTGGCATACTTAATTTGTTTAAATACCAAGTACTATATATGAAAAATCATAAAGGATCCACATAATATAGTCTCTCAGTGATACTAGATTTTCTATGGCAAGTAAGCAGAGTAGTGATTGATTACCTTGATCCAGCTGAGTTGGTTCAAGGTCTGTTTCTGGTTTTGAGGAAGCAACCTATTTCCAGTTGGTCCTACTCTTAGAGTATACTGAGCTTCAGAGATCTCAAATAAAACTTTTCCATGGTGGTCTCTGAATTTTAATTTTTCTGTTTAATACTTTACCCTCTTATTAACTACTTTCAGTGTGGTTTCTTGGCCTCTTATTCTAGAGTTTAGAACTTAGTGAATACCTTGAGGGCAAAAACTGCAAAGAATGATTTTGTTTCCCTATCACAGTGAAACTGATCATAGCTCTAACTTCCATCTTCTGTTTGTCCTCTTTGTCATATATCTTAATTCAGCAAAAGCTAAATGGAAAAAAGAGAGAAAGTCTGGCTCTCTATAGCACATCCCCCCTTTCTCTATAATTTTACACTTCCAACCACTTGTGGCCTTGGTTGTTCTCCCAAGCCCTAAGTGGCTGTTAGTTTTACTGTATCTGGGTTTTTTTTTTTTTTTTTTTAAAGATTTATTTATTTACTTGAAAGGCAGAGTTACAGAGAGGCAGAGAGAGAGAGAGATAGAGAGAGAGAGAGAGAGAGAGAGTGAGAGAGAGAGAGAGAGAGTGAGGTTTTCCATCCACTAGTTCACTCCTGAGATGGCCACAATGACTGGAGCTGCACTGATCTGAAGCCAGGAGCCAGGAACTTCCTCAGGGTCTCCCACTTGGATGCAGGACCCAAGGACTTAGGCCATCTTCCACTGCCTCTCTAGGCTACAGCAGAGAACTGGATTGGAAAGGGGAGTAGCTGGGACCAGAACCAGAGCCCATATGGGATGTTGGCACTAGAGGAAGGGGCTTTAACTTGCTGTGCTACAGCGCTGGCCTCTGTATCCAGCTTTTACAACTTTTTTTCATGGGTGGTTTGATCTGACACAATTATGCTGCCATAGTCAGAAATAGAAGTTTCCTTACTCATTATACGTTAGTCATATATCAAAATCCATTCAAATAATATAATTCTGGGATGGAAGATTTTCAGTAATGCTTAAAAAGAAAAATAACCAAATAAGTAAACATTTTCACTAGAAGAAATGTTAAAATTAAGTGACATTTTTGTAAGCCAGAAGCCTCCTCAGTTTATTTTTAATAATCTGAAATATGGAATACTTACGTAAATATCAAACGGAATACTTGGGCTTTTTCAAGATCCCCTTTCAGTAACATAAATTCAGTGGCTCATTCAAATAAATTTATCACGAGTTTGCTTAAATATGAACTGAGAGTCTAATTACAAGAAATAAAAGGGCTATTGAAAACAAAGTATAAGATGATCTTATATAAATACAATTACCACACTTCTTTCTGTGTAATCATACCTTGTTAATTTCCGTTTCCTTTTGGCAGCAGCAGTCATTGCCATGTAGGATGGCACCACGCTTGGTAGAGGCATAGAATGCTTAGTTGAGAATGAAGGGTCCAGCCTGCATATTAAATAGTGAAAACCAAAACAGAATAAGTTTGATTTATACTATAGAGAAAAAAGGGGCATACACTTCCACTAAAAAACTATCTGATATTAATAGATAAACACAAACATTCTTATATACTATAGAACTTTGCAAACTTACCCTAAGGATTTTTTTTTCCTTCTTCATACCATAGGTAGAGCTGCTATCAAGAGATTTCTGCATTCCCAGCAGGACAGAAAGTGAAGAAAGTATTTTTCTCCTCATATTTAGATTGGGTATCATTATGTAAATAAAGTGAGAAGGAAATGTGTGCTTGGATGACATGTGGTCAACCATACCTTAAACACATGACTATTACAGAGTAAGCTGAGGTTTGATAAACATCAGTAGAACTGGAATCTCCTTTAGTGAAGATATTAATGAATAAAAATAAACATGGTAATCCTCTGATGATAGATTATCTAACTTTGAAATATGAAGCACAAATTGAATATATCTTAAGGTCTCTCCTAGCTGAATGAGGGTCAACTGACTAAAGATCAAATTCATTCTGACATTTTAAAATATTGTTAGTGAATACTTCAGAGAAAAAGATTTAACACAAGTAAAATACAGTTTTGTAATCCAGACAGCCTACTAGATCTATAAAATACACCTCAAATATAGCTAATAAGAAAGAAAACTAGTCTGAGTGCTATGTTAACAAAAAAGAACTGGAAAATATCTCTGTTTTGTACCTTTGTAAAATGTTTTTATTGTTGTTTGGTTGAGGTTCTTGTTCAGGTAATTTACTCTTCAAGCTCCTAGTGTCTTCACATATAGTAAATGTAGAATTCAAAATTTCCTCTTCACATAACAGTTTTAGAGAATTATCACTGTTTCTGTTTGAGCTGATGTCCTGAAAACCCGCAGTATGTGATGATGGCTTTATTAAGGCTACTGGAGATGGATTCTGAAAAGGTTTTCTACAGTTTTCTGGAGTATATACAATAGGTTGAAGTTCTTGGCTGAGAGAATCATTGAGATGCATACTTTCAGACAGCGCAGACTTTTCCGTGTGTTTGACTTTTAAGGGAGAAGACATTAGTCTTCTACGAGTTCTTTTTTGTGGAGGAATTTTAAGCAGGTTAGGATCACTTGAAGATGTACCTGTTCAATAAAATTAAAAAGGTAATTAAAATGCTGCTCAAAGTTTTCCAGTAACTTCATTAGTTTAAAAAACATCACTAATGAGTACTTATTTTTTGCCAAAAAACTGAATGAAAATAAGTTGGAAAAGAAAACAAAAGAGTTTTTTTTTGGTAAAAAAGGCAAATAAAGATAACAAACTTATTATATATAAAGAGATTCTAAAACAGAATATAGTAAATTGCTAACATCAATATTAATACCAGTATAGCTATTTTGATATATTGGATAATTACAAAAACAAATTTCTAATCAATTATATTAAAATCTACAAGCAATTTCTAGCTTTCATGTTTTGATGTAGGCTTAAGAAAAAGCAATATTTAAAATTTGTATACACAGAGATTTAATACTTGTTCTACTGTAAAAAATTACTAGTTTATTATAATGGGGTGAGAATCCCATATTGGAAATGCTTGGAAAAAAAAAGCGTTTCATATATTTTTTTTTTGGTTTTGATTTTTAGACTATCTCAATGTATTTGTACAAAAGGATTTACAAATTTTTCCACACCAAAATAAACTTTACTTCTAACTTTATTTTTTAAAAATTTATTTGTTTGTAAGACAGAACAGAGAAATGGAAGGAGAAGGAGAAACAGAGAGAGAAGGAGATCTTCCATCTGCTGGTTCACGCCCCAAAAGGCTATAATGGCAGAGGTGGTGCTAGGCTGAAGCCAGGGAGTTTGGAACTCCATCCATGTCTCCCACATGAGTGGTAGGGGCCCAGATAATTGGGCCATCCTTATTGCTTTCTCAGGAGCATTAGTAGGGTGCAGGATCATAAATGGAAAAGACAGGACTCAAACCAGCACCCATATGGTTGCTGGAGTTGCAGGTAGTGGTTTAACCTACTGCTCCACAATGCCAGCTCCCTAATGTTATTTTTGATGAAATACTTTTTGAAGTATCATTGTACATAACAAAATATTTTGGAGATATAACTCAAATATAACATGAAATTCATTTGTTTCATTTATAACTTATACATATAGCCTGAAGATAATTTTACACAATAATTTTTAATAATTTTGTGAATGAAGCAAAGCTTCATGGTATATAATTCAAAAAGTCGTTAGTCTGGGGATATTTCAGATTTTGGATTTTTTGGATTATGGATGTTCAACCTTTAAGTGTAAGTCTAGTAGTCTAAACTAACAAGGGTGATAACAATAAAATACCAGATTTCTAAAATAACTTCATCTATTATGATTTCATACATACTGAGTTAAACACTGCAGCTGATATGCTATACACACACATACACATCATAGGTTTGCAAAAATTAGATTTAATAACAAAAATGAAGAGGTCAGTTTAGCTTTTCAACATTATAACCTTATCCTTATAATCTATGTTAATCTCTTCCTCCATCCAGTGAGTATAGAAAATCACCTAAGCAGTTGCACTTTGCTTTGATAATCAATACTTAGATAGAAACATGGTATCTAGAAAAATTTTTAGTAACTTCAGATAATACTTACCTTTTATTTCTTAATAAACTTTTTTCTACCCTGGTGAACTTCATGGAGCCTGACATGTGCCTTTGCTTGGAGTGTAGCATGTAAGAAAGTAATATGTGCATTTCTGTCTACACTTTTAGACAATGAGGTAAAATTTTCAAGTACTGTTATATTTTCTTTATTATATAGAACTAACTTAAATAACACTGAAAATTGAATAAAGTTGTGTATTGTATTTTAATAAAGCAATTCAGAATATCAAACAAGTTAAAAATACACTTAAAACAATCACCAACAGTAGTACATGTATTATTCTTATTATGTTAGTTGACAATAGGCTCTGCTATGGCTAGGTTGACAATTACCCTCTAGGAAATACAATTTAAAAACAGGAAGAAAAATATGATTCCTGTTCTACTAAGGAATTTTACTTTTCTGAGAACTAGATAAATGAGATCCAGATCTTAAAATAATTTTCCACTCCCTTTAACATGACATTTGTCAAATTTTCCATTACCAGATATTTTTATACTAATGCTGCAGTGTAAAGACAGTTACTTTTCTCCACTGTGCTGCTATCACCAATTTGGTGGCTATTAATAGCTGGAAGATTAACTTCTTTTCCCATGAGAGGCAGCAGAGGTATAGAGGATAGAAAACTATATCCAGGATAGAGAACTGAATTGAGAGTCAGGAGACTTGGATTCTATTTCTGGCTCCATCAACGACTCATTGAGTGACCTTGGGTAACTCACTTAAGCAGTGTGGACATAAACATCCCATAGAACAAAAGGAATACTACTCGCTTATGGACAGGGAATTTACTAGGATTAGAAAAAAATTTAGGGTTCAAAGAAAGGCTCTACAAATTCAAATATGCTTCAAACTGTTAGTAGTACACTATCATAAGGAAAGTTGTAATTTATTTTCCAGTAGTATATCAACAGCTACCTCACAGTTAATTCTAAAAAATGTCTTACTTTCAGTTGTCAGAAACCAAGTTTATCAAGGCTTATCATAAATTGCAAATATAAACAAAAGGTATGTTAAAATAGGCATATGTATGTGTTATTTGCAAATGCTAACTTTCTAAACACCCACTTAGAATACAATGGGACATGAAACCTCAGGTGGTAAGGATTATCCAAAGCCACTATTTTTCTTGTACATATTTAGAGGGCATAATCTCTGGAGGTACAACTGGGCAAAGACTTATGTGGTGGACCTCTTTTCCCTTCTGCTAACAAAGAGCATGAAAATGAAGGCCTCCCCACAAGACACTGAAGAAATAGCCACCTGTCCTCATGGATACTCTAAACACATACCCAATATCAAATTTGATATAATCAGATTAACAGTTTGTCAGCAAAAGGAATAATGTCATAAGATGTATCTTTCACTATAATTCTGCTCTTCTGGCAAAATACAATAATCTGAAGAAATTAAGGAAATGCAGTAGTTAATGTAGATTTACATACAGTTGTTTTACTAGGCCTGGAAGGAGAGATGTTAGAGACACAGAATGTATACAATACGAATCTGAAAGGGTCTTTTCTTTTTATCCTCTCAGTTATTAAATTTATACTCTGAATTATTAAATTCAGATAAAAATACTAACAAGAGGGCAGAGAGTAGATGGTCTACTCAGGACTACTTAGACTGACTTATTGCTAACAAAAATTCAGGAGTTAACAACAGCAAAAGCAGGATTCAAAGGCTTAAATAAAAATTCAGTAGTAATCAACTATCACTATAAATGTAAAGGGATAATGACATACTCTATTACTTAAAACTAAAAGAACACAATAAAAATAGGCATTTTACTTTGAATATGATTCTTAGAATCTAAAAACATAACTATTTTTAGCTAAGTTATATGACAGAATATTTGAAGTGGGTATGGCAACTGGAGAATGTTCGGTTTAAGGCATTATAGGGTTTATAATGATGAGAGAGAACTATTGGGTATGCTAGATTTATGTGTATAAAAAATTTGCTGTAATTTTCCATTAGAGAGAAAGGGGATTCAGTAACTTTCCAGAACAGTAAGCTTGGGGTAGTTGTACAGTTTTCCTTGATTCAGCCTGGGAAAATACTATCTAACAAAATTTCATAATTTCTGGGCTCACAGTGTACAAGTAATAAAGGAGGGACCTGCAGGCAAATTATAATTCCTTTAGAAAGGTCCCATAAAATAAGAAAAGGAATCATGTAGTTGTAGGCTGTCAGAACAAAGCACCCTACAGATAAAGAGTCAATGTAAAACCATAGCAATGAGGATACTACACAGGAGGGGAAAGGAAGTTAAAAGTGCATTGCTGTTGGCCGGCGCCGCGGCTCACTAGGCTAATCCTCCGCCTTGTGGTGCCGGCACACCACGTTCTAGTCCCAGTCAGGGCACCAGATTCTTTCCCAGTTGCCCCTCTTCTAGGCCAACTCTCTGCTGTGGCCAGGGAGTGCAGTGGAGGATGGCCCAAGTGCTTGGGCCCTGCACCCCATGGGAGACCAGGATAAGCACCTGGCTCCTGCCATCGGATCAGCGCTGTGCGCTGGCCGCAGCGCGCTGGCCGTGGCGGCCATTAGAGGGTTAACCAACGGCAAAGGAAGACCTTTCTCTCTGTCTCTCTCTCTCACTGTCCACTCTGCCTGTCAAAAAAAAAAAAAAAAAAAAAAAGTGCATTGCTATAAGACAAGGTCTTGCGAAATAGAAAAGATTTGTGAACTGCATTTCAATTGCTCTGAAATGTTATAATCCATGGGATGTAGGTGAATATAAGTTGCTGAAATTAATAACCAAATCCAGAAGAAAAGCATGTTGCTTTTTATGAAAGAGAAAAGGTTTTGGTTAGTTGTAGTGCAAGACCAGTAATCTAAGAAGACTGTACACACATATAAGTCATTTACTGTCCATTCACCCAACATTTATTTCTGCCATGCTCATGCCTTGGTGGGCATTGCAAATTCAAGCTGTCTTGCAATTAAGAAGTCACATTTTTGAGGGAGGAATGCAGATGACAATAAAACAATGATGAACTAAAAAAAAAATATGAAGCAGAAAAATGGAATACAGATGACAGACAAGAGGGATGATTTTAACTATGATGGCCATGGAAACCAATTCTAGACATGGTATATGTGACCTGAGACTTGAATGGCTATGGAGAAATCAGTTCTATGAAGAACTGGAGGAAAAGGCAGAAGAAATTGCAAGTATACAATGTCAACAATGAATTTACTCAATTCAACCATAAGAGAGGATGCTAGTGTAACTGAAGTCCAGTGAGTGAAAGGGAGAGTAGAAATAAGAGAATGGAGCACTAAAGAGTGGTCAATTAACTATGTTAGGATTTACAGTCAAAATAAGGGCTTAAAGTTACTCCAAGCACAAAGGGTTTCCTGCGGAGGATTTCCAAGTATGAATATGATGTAATTTGATTGATGTTTAAGAAAAAGACATATTTACTTGCTGTGTAGAGAAATAGTAACAAGGATCTAGCAA